GACTTTACACTCACGGTTGGATTAGCGTTGCACCCTAGATCTAGATGCTTTCTTCACTCACCCTGAATCAGACCCTTTACTGAGCTCTGATGTCAATTGTTAAAGCTTGATGAAAATGCATGAATAACATACATTATTCAATCATATAAAAATGGCTTTATAAGCCTTACAGACTTGAATATCAAAATAGAGTAACAAAAACTACTAAACTGTATGGCAACAATCTAGGCATAAACTAAGTAACTAACTAGACCCAGTCAGTCCTATAAAATAGGATTTTTTATTGACATGTTAAAATAACTAACAAGGATCGAGTGATGAGAGTCGAAAAAGATATCTAATGACTTAGCTTGTGGTGTAAAAGATAATTTTGTTTTGATAAATCATTTAGAAATTTAACATGATCATACACGAATGTATATACCAAATTGAATACCCTAGTGTTATGCACTTATGGAGATATGGTGTGGAAGGTATATATCTCTAATGTTTATTTCAATATCTAATCTTCGAGAAGTTGTCTAGTATATGTGAGTTTGTGTGGGTGTGATGTAATATATGAAAACTTAAAGTTGTTATGTTGATGTATTCAGTGGCGGATCTTCATAGTAGTTAAGGGGGTTCATGACCCCCCCAAAGTTTTGTAACTTACTTGTATATTTATGATTTTGACCCCCAATATTAAATATATCATAAAGAAAAAACTGAAGGAATAAATTAAATAAGAAATATTAAAAATAATTTTATTATCTAATCCTTCCATCTTCTCTCGCTTTTTCATACTCTCTCATTAACGGTAATATTTTATTAGTATTTAATTGTTTCTCTAATTTCTAAGGAATATATTAAACAAGAAAGATTAAAAGTAGTTCTTCATCTTCTTTCACCTTTTATTTCTCTCATGGTAATATTGATTTATTAGTATTAAATTGTTTCTATAGTTTGTATTTTCAAATTTATTGTTCGTCTCTCTTCCTCCCTCCTCATATTTATATTGATTGATAAAGGTAACTTTTTAAAACCTTTTCACACTCGCTTATTCTATTATCATTTATTATTTTGATTTTTGTTGAGAAACATTTGTTGTTTGAGAAAAATAATTTTGTTTTTTTATAATTTTTTATGATTCTATAATTAGAAAAATAATAATTGTCGCCGCCGTCAAAAAGAGGCGGTCGGAGCGACGCGATGGTTCCGACTTTCCAATTTTCGCGTTTTTATGGGTGATGTTACAACGTCTTCAGGTTGTCCGATAATCGGGTTGAACCAAAGGGCGATGTTTCCGAAAAGGTGTTCTTAGGTTGTCCGATAACTGGGCTAACCTAAGAACTAATTTGAAGGGGTTCTTATAGAGTCGTCACCGATGTTTTTACCGGAAACATCAAAAAAGGAGGAAAAATGCGTTATTTTTTTGAAGAACCAACTTTTGGTAGTTAAAACCAGAGTTGGGTAAGGGAGTTAGTTACGTGTAAGGGAAGTGTTAGTTCCCTTACAACGCCCCTTTCGGGTTCCCTATGATAGGCCAATTATTTTATAGATAAACTTTCGAAAAGACGTTTTTACCCTTTTATTTGCGGAATTAAAATAACGACTACATGACCCTAATGTCTATTATGCAATTTAATTAATTAAAAATAAAGACAATAAAAGAGAGGGAGAGAGTGAAGAAACCTCCGAAGCAAGCTTTTTGATTAATTCTCTTAAAGATAGGGTGCGTTTTGGCAGCCCTTCGCTCTTACAACGCCGGAAATCTCTCGAAAACGCTATAAAAAGCTCTCTAAGACTCTCAAAAACTCCAGAAATGCTTCAGAGGGACTCTAGGAAGAGAATTTGAAGAAATTGTAGAAGGGAAAATGGAAGAACTGTGTGAAATGAGGGGGGGAACGCTCACTATTTATAAGGATTTGCGCCTGTCAGGTCGAGACGGTCTCGCCATTCAGGACAGCGGTCTCGACTTGCAAAAGTGGCGAGACAGCCATCTCGTTTGGCGAGACGGCGGTATCGACTTTTCAAGTGACGAGAAGGTCTTCTCGCCAAACAGGGGGTCTCGCCATTGGCAAGTGGCGAGACGGCGGGTCTCGACTTGCATCAATGGCGAGACGGCGGTCCCGAAAAGCGAGATGACGGTCTCGACTCCTGAAGGCGAAAATCCTTATTTTTATACAGAAAATCCTTCCTATCCTAATATGAGGACTAATAGTCTCTCCTAGTGGCTTCTTAGGCTTCGTCCATCTTCAAATAGGAGGTCTTCTGTTCTTATTTTGAGGCCGGACAAAATTTGGGGTCTACAATAATATATTCATTTTTTTTCTAGATATGAAGCATAAAAGAATAGATTCATTTTTTAAAAGTGATAAAAGGGATACTTGTAGAGATGATAACCAAACAAATTCAACATCTTCTCCTGTTTCAAAGGATGATATTGATGATTCAATTATTCAATTAGAAGAACCCCTTTCTAAGGTTCATAGAATTAAAATCAATGAATTTAATATTAATTCTTTGGAGCGTGACCTAGGAAAACATCTTCAGATACATGAATATTCTATGAATCAAAGAGATGAAATTAGAAGAACTTATTTAAATTGGGGTCCATAACTTAAAAACTATCATTTTTCTAAAGAGAAACATCCTAGGAGATTTCAATATGGTTAGTTTAAAATGTTTTCTTCTTGGCTAGAGTATTTCTCAACTAGTGATGGAGCTTATTGTTTGTCATATTATCAATTTAGTACACTGTTAAATGGTTGTCTTGGGGCATATGTGTTTATTAGACAAGGATTTAAATTATGGAAAAAGGTTAATTCAGGAAAGAATTGTGCATTTCTTAGTCACATTGAAGATAATCCTTGTTCACCACATAACAATACTTAATAGATCGTTTAATTCGTCTTATTTTAACTCTTTCTCGTTTCTACAGCTTACAACCGAGAGATCATTTTCTCGTAATGAAGATTATCAAAACAAAACTGCGAAATAGAATGGAAGATGAAATTCTTGCAGTTAACATGATCATTTATATTGAAAAAGAAATAGATGAAAATTTTAGTTCCGATTTCATTATTGATAATGTTCAAATATTTAAAAGAACGAATGACTTAATTTTAAATAAATATCTTATTTTTTATTTAAATAAACAAGACTGACGGGTCAAGATCCGCCACTAGATGTATCTCATATTTAAATTTTTGCATACTTAATAAAATTATGAACTTACCTTGTATGTTTCGTATATTGTTTTGAGTTATAATGAACGTTGTTTACATAAGAACAAATATAATAGATGGTAAACCTCAATGGAAATAAATCTAGAATTAAAAATAATACAAGTTTACGTTTTATTCACTTTTAAAGTGATATATATATATTTGAATAAAATTTATATGATGTGCATATTTTGGTTGGGGTGTTATATATCTCATATTTGTATGTAAAATATTATAACTAGTCTTAATGAAAAGATCTTGACCCATTTTAAAAAATAAAAAGAATCAAAATTATATGTTAAAAAAAATAAAATAGATATATTTTTTAAATACAAAGCTATGCTCATCTAACCTCAGTAGTTTTCATAATAAATAATTCCATCACATCATAAATTACTTAAATAAAAGTGACACTATTGAAAAATAACGCTAATAGTATTTATGACAATATATGTAAGTTTATCCATTCTTGCATATCTATTCGAAGGGAACTACAACTCCTTTAGACATAGCATCTTGTATCAATCAGAATTCATGTTTATAATTTTCGCAATCAAATCCATTCTTTCTCTCTTGTAAAGGCACACATGTTGTCTAAACGCTTTATCCTTAAAAAAACTATGAACTTCACTCCTTCCATCTATAGTTGATGGCTTCAAGAGAGAGGAAGCACCATGTATTGCATCCTTTCTTTATTTTTTTCTGTTACTTTAATTCTTACATTTTCTATTATTAATTAACTTTCTTTTAAAACACAATATATGTATTGATAATATTTTAATAAAATATAAGAATGAAAATATATTAATAAAAATGAATGGAAGAAACTTTTGGATAGAATATTTTAAATATAAAAAATAAGATATACAATGACTATTGGGCCGATCCGTGAAAGGAAATAGTTTGGTGTCAAATGAAAATTTCAGATTACCTCCTAATAAAAAGAATTACAATGAGCAAAATATTGGTTTTGACGACTAAAATTATAGTTGTGTAAAAAGAAACGAAATGACAAGAATGAAGGAAACTCGGGTCTTCGTATCCGTTTTGCTTTTGGTTTGGTGGGATTACGTTTTCTGGTGTTCATGAAAATTTATAAATTGGAGCCTTGAAGCGGACTTGCGTCCTGTCTGCCTTTCATCGGCTGAATAAATAGGGGATTCCTGCTGCGGTCATTGTTTTCCAAAACTGTAACCCTCTTCTCACCCTCATTTCGATGCTCTTCTATTTATTTCCTGCATCCCCGCCGTTAATTTTTTCTTTGTTTAAATTAAATATGAAATTTTCTATTTGCATCATTAACTTTGGTTGTGATTTTTTTCATTCCATTTTAATTTTGCAGTGAGTTGTTACTTTTTTCTTTGCTGGGCTCTTACGGATACGATTTTGTATTCTCTTGCCATTTTGATTGGTAGTTTTTGTTTATGTAAAATTGAGCAACGCACTGTTTAGTTCTGAAATGTTTCTTTCAATCACGGTCGTCCTAGTCCCAGTTAACGTTTCTATCATATGATGCATCGCATTTTAAAACCTAAGAAGATGCTATGAAATTAGTGGATTCAAAGGAACGAAAAATATTTTCTTTTGTAATGCTTGCACTGACCTTTAGGCCATATACTAACGAAACCATCTTTGGAGAGTTGTAAGAACTCATTTTTTAGGGTTGAAATTTTGTTCATTAACTTGGATATTCTTTGAGTGTCTCTCTTAATTGGTAACGTGGTATTGACATTGCAGGTACCTTGGGATAGTTGGGTATTGATTATAGGATATATTAAGTTCATAATCTGATGAATGCCTGCTAGGGGCAAGGCTCCACCAACGTTTGAAGGGCGCTCTGTGCAAGTTCCTGGGATGATGCGGCGTGGTCAACTTTCTGGTTTAGGTTCCGCTGCTTCTCGTCGCTCTCTGGAGTCCCTGACTCCTCCTCAGCTGTTGGAGAATAGAATTGCTGTTCAGGAAGCAGAAATAGAGCAGCTTTTACAGGATAACCGTAGTCTGTCAAGTGGACATGTCACCTTGAGAGAGGCTCTTGTCGCAGCTGCGCAAGATGTGCAAAAGTTGAAGTCACACATTAGAAGTATCCAGACGGAAAGTGACATTCAGATCAGAATTCTACTTGATAAGATTGCCAAAGGAGAGGTTGATATTAGAGCCGGTGAGAGGGTGAAGAAGGACCTACAACAGGCCTATATTGAGGCACAGAGCTTAGCAGCTTCCAGGCAGGAATTGAGTGCTCAAATTCAACGAGCTAGTCAGGAACTGAAGAAGGTTAATAGTGATGTTAAGATAATTCCAGATTTGCAGGCTGAACTGGATGGATTAGTGCAGGAGCATCAGAGGTTACGGTGAGTGTTAATTTCACCATGTGGCTATTCTACCTTCATGCGATTCAGAACTGATACTGAACACTTCAGGGTATTTAGTTAATTTTGTTAATTGTATAACAGGGTCTAAACTTCCTTTATGGAAACTAGGTTTTATATCTGAGCCAATGTTGTTAAATAACCATTAGGTAATTTGAGAAGGCAGGCCTACTATGGCAGAGCCATAGGCTGCTATCTTTATGTTTATGATTTCAAATGGCAGAATTTTGGCCTTCCTCCTTCCACCATTCATAACCTTGATCTGTGTAGCCAATCCTGCCTCATGCCAAACGGCTTTTATTGCTGTTGATTTACCATTAAGAGTCACATACACTAAAATATTATCAGCCAAAGCAGCATATTTTGTACTGCCACTGAAGAAATAAGATATGAAAAAAGAATAAACAATCGTAGAAAATTATTAATGTTGGTTTTTGCTCCAGCAACCACCCCAATAGTTAATTTAGGAGGATTTCATTTTGTTAAATCTGTTTAGTTTGTGAAAATGTCTTCAGTCTCTGGTTTTATTTGTTTCCACAATATAATTACAGAAATTCCATTTTATTTACATTTTCTTTCTTGTTTTCAGTGTTCATGTGCAAATATTTGAAAATAGGATGACATTTGTACATATTTATGATTACAAGAAATGAAAATAGAAAATGTTTTCTCTACTCAAGCAAGGCATAAACTTGATAGTATATGATTGGTTTCAAGATATGGCATGTTCTTTGAAGTGGGTATCAGGAGTGACATTACAGAGGAGTCTCCTATTTTATTATCATTGATATTGTTATATTTAAGGTGAGACTGTCAAACGACGGAATAAATATTAGTTCTAAAATTGTATGACGGATTCCAAATCATGAGTACTTACTGAAGTGTTTTCAACATCTATCAAGTCATATGCTTTAAGTCAGGATTTGCTATTCATGGGTGCCACGCCATTATATACGTAAATTCATAAATATTTGGTATTCCTTCATATCTTGCTGCATATTTTTTTATTTTGTTGCAGTTTGTTTCTCTTTTTGTGTTAACTTCTCTAGTAATTCCTTAAATCTGGTTGGGTGACAGTGGCACATTTGAATATGAAAAGAAGAAAAACATAGAGCTAGTGGATTACATGAAAGCAAAAGAGAAGAAATTAATAGCGATGGCAAGAGAAGTTGAAATGTTACGAGCTGAGATTTTGAATGCCGAGAAAAGAGTAAATGGTAACTTTCTTGCTTCACTGTTGTAGTCTGTTCATGTTATATTTTGTAGTTACATGTTTCTGATGCATTCTTACTATGTAAGCAGCACCTGATCTGTTTAGGGCTTCCACCCCTGGCCACAGCAGTGGTCCGTTTGTTGATGCTTATGGGAGAGCTCATGGTCAGATGGCTGCTGGCCAAGTAGGAGAGGGTATGATACAAGTTGGTGATAGCAATGGAATAGCAGCTGTCAATAGTTCTGGTGTTAGTGGTGGTATTTGGTCAAGTCCATATGATCCGTCAGTTGGTCGGAGGTGAAGTTTAAGTTAGTCCAAATGCAACCTGACTTAAGCTTTTACTGCTAAAATACATGGAGACTGATGGCTTTGTTCTTTGTAAATCTCACAGATTGGGTGGCTTTATTTTTAGGTACTTTCCATTTGATGATATAATACAATTTTGTGAATTGTTGAATGAAATCTACTGATAGGAGAGTCCAAAAGGTCACTGTGTCAAACAAAACTGATGGTAGAATGAATTAAAAGTCTAGTCAAGCATGGCCTTTTTAACGAGCTATATGATACTGTTCTTAAGTTATTGCCCTAGAGATAGCAATCCTGATTTTCGAATTGCATATGAAACATGTTGTTTTCCATCCAACATGACGATATTGTTGCAAATCACTATTGTAGCTAGCAAGGAAACTCTAATAATATTTGCAAGCGCTGGCATACAATCTTTCTGTCCAAGAAAGAGAAATAAGAAGTGAAAAAAGTTGTAGGATAAAATAGTTGACATGGTGAAGAGAAATAAATCGATAAATAATATTGAAAAAAATGTAATATAAAGGTGTTAAATGAAATTTATATAACTCAACTTTTTTATGGTCAGGTACTGCTGGTCAAGTAGTTCAATTTTCTTTTCGGGATAGCGTATCAATCTTTGATTACGGTGATTTCATCAAACTAGTGCTAAAAAGGCTAGGTAAGAACAAATATATGGAAAAAGTTGATTCAAAAATTCATTAGTCCGAAAGGAATGATAATTAAATATGTAGGTATTGGGATCCATCTGTCTTTGTCCCAATTTGATAAGAAAAAATTGAATTGATGGGGAGGAGGCGGGTTTGAATTTTTCCTTTTTTTTTTAGTTGAGGGTGAAAATAAGTAATGTAATTCTCACTCGTTCTCATTTCGACTTTATATTTAAATTTTAATTTTTTAAAAATATTTTTTTCTATTATATATAAGGTCATTTTTTATATTTTATCATTTTTACTTTTCTTCTATCCACTTTTTTAATCTTTTATATAAATTAGTTTATTATAATTTTTTTTCTTACCTTCCAGTTTTTCATATTTTCTTAATCTCTCCAATCAATTTTCTTTTCTTTTTTCAATTTTTTCAACCAATTTGATGAACACAAAGTTTTTTTTTCTTTTTTAAAAATATTTTATATAAATCTTAATAGTAACTAATATTATTTCATTTATAATTTATATTTATTAGGTTTTATTATGTCATATTTTTTGGATCTTATTATTTTTATTTGTCATATATCAAATTTTATTTTAATAAAATAATTATATTTAAATGATTAAAAAGAATTGATAATTTAAAATTTTATTACTTCAAACTAATTAAATAAAAATTAACTTATTAAATATTTCTTTATAAACTATATATTTCATATTTTTAAATAATAACTTAAAAATGACTTAATTTATATATATAATCAAATGTTTAAATATATTATAATAATAATAATAATAATAATAATAAAATAAGTATTCAAATTGAATACATTATTATTATTATAAATATTTTATATATATAATAATTAAATATTTATTTTATATACATATTTTAATATAAATATAATAAATTAAAAAATATATTTAATTAATAATAATTACAAATTATAAAATTATAAATATTTATTTATATATAAAAATATATAAAATTAATTTATTATAAATATAATTATCTTTTTTAAAATAGTATAAATGAGAAAAGAAACGAGAGAGTGACAGTCGAAAAATCCGAAATTCAACATAAATGGAGATAAAGAATTAATTTCTAAATATAAGAAGAAAGATTGGAACAAAGATGGTAAAAAAAATCGCGGACAAATACTGTGAAAGCAAAACACGGTCGCCCCGTTAAGTCGAAGGTGATTTTGTCCAAACAACATTTATAATTAAAACAGGCAGTTGTTCCAAGCTCTCTTTACATATTTGCAATGGAAAGAAATATACGGCCCAACTCTAATTTTATCTATAGACCAAACAACATGATGAAGAAACCGGTTAACATGTATAGTTGGGCCTACTTTGAGGCCCATGTGGCCCGCTCGTTACTATTTATTTCTTTCTTTGGTTGTGCATTTCTTTCATTTCATTTGTCGATCGAGTCTGACTCATGGCGGAGGTTAGTTCCTTCAATTTTCTTAGACTCTGATTCTTATCTCTCTGCAAAATCTACCATTTTCAGTTATTTTCTATTTCCATCTTTTTTATTGTCTCATTTTCTCCATTCAAGATTTCAATTTGTTGTAATCTTCTTGAGGTGTAGCATATTAATCTATTTTTAAATTTATAATGCCTTTCCGATCGATCGAATCATTTTACAACTGGCTATTTTTCCATACGATAAGTAAAGTAGTGAATTGCCCTTTCTCTCCTCTATGTGAAAAGAAATACATTTCGGATTTTATAGATTCCGGTGCTTGCTAGTTAATATTCATATCGGGATTGAGATAGCAGAAGAAAAAAAAGTAGAGATTGTAGGGGTGCCTCTTCTACGTCTTTTAAATGTTTGCAATTCGGATTCCCAATTTTTTAAGTTTTAAATTGTTTTGGTGGTCTGGGTCCTATTGTTATAACACTTAATATAGTTATTCACTGGAAGTATGGATGCTGTTGCGAAATTTTGAAATTTATTGTTTTCAGAGAAAATTGAATAGGGTTCATGAACCCAGTTTCTAATGGCAGCAACTGTACATTCTTAAACTCTGGGACTCGGCTAGAAAATTCCAAAACTCTAAGGAACCAGCTACGATAGAAACTCCTATTTGAACATCCCAACATTTTCAAGGATCTACAAATTAATTGAGCCATAGTTTTATGAATTGGTTGTTTCTTATAAATAAACATGCTTGTTGATAGTGCATTGGTATGTGTATGCTTCCCTTTAGATTCTTTTTTTTTTTTTTTTTTTTTTTAATTTTGATTCCAGGAAGAATGTTTGCTATATAGTGCTGATTTGTGACTTATGATTGCATGTTGTCCATATCTTAGTTATTGCATCCAAAGGCCATGCAGCAATTCAACTGCATTTTTTTAAGATTCTGATCCTGACATTTTGAGCTAAATGTCTAAAGTTGGTTTCACCGTAATTGACGGTACTGGTTCACATAAGATACTGAATCAATATAATATATGTTTTGGTCTTTGTTGACATTCATATAAGTCATTCTTTATTCATGAGTTAAGCAGGTTGGTATGATAATACATTTCAGGCACGCTTATTTCATTGCTTAAAACTAGAGTCTTGGTACAAAATGTCCTCTAGATTTCTGCTGTTCTATATACTTTTTGTGTTGAATTTGACTTTTAATGCAATAGGTTTGGTATCTTATCTTCTGTAAATTAGTAGTATTTTTACCTGACATAATGTTTTTTGTTACTTCCTGCTAGATTGAACTAAAAACAGCACCTGCTGATTTTCGTTTTCCTACAACAAATCAAACCAGACATTGTTTCACTCGCTACATAGAATTTCATAGGTGGATTTCCTGACATTGGCTATCTGGTTTCTGTTAAAATGTTATGGATAATATTTTACTTAATATTGATTTTAATTACAGATGCTTGGTTGCAAAGGGTGATGACTCAGGTGAATGTGAGAAATTTGCTAAATATTACCGCTCGCTTTGCCCGGGTGAATGGGTAAGGAACCCCTAGCTTCTTGGTTGACATGGAACTGACTGCTTGTGTACTTTAATGTAAAACTTGATGTCATAGTGGAAGTTAATGTGATTTGTGATGTTCAATTGTTCATGAGATTGACTCCTTAATGTCTGCGAAGTTTTAAACTGTTAGGAACTATATAGATTTTATTGTTGCGATAGGAGTCACCGAAGTCCCTGTGCCAGTGTGTAGTCTCTATTTGTACTGCGTCTGGATGTTGATTCACCTTAACTTATTTACAGCATTCACTAATCAATGCTTTTACAAGCTAGGATAGATCATTTTAATAGAGTTGTTTTCTATAAATGTTTTCCTGGCATATTGTATTAATTTTGGATTTATAGTGTGTTTTTTTATTTGTTATCCCTTTGAAGCTCTGTAAGGTTTTCTTTTATGGCAATTAATAACGTACTAACATATGCCATCCTGGACTTATCAATAGAAGAGTCGTTGGTAAATTTTGTATTTTTTGTTAATGAAGAATTTAGGCTTGATCTTGAGAATACAACCTCCGATTGCGATTCCCACCAAAAAATCATCACATGTTTATTCTCTGTTTCCCAGAACTAATATGTGTGTCTGATGAATGCTAAGGGATAAGGATATGAGATTCTTTTTAGATATAGGACACAGGCATTTTGACAATCACATGCTTGGAAGTTTGGGATTTAGGTCTTTTAAAGTCAGAGGGTGTGTAAAGTAATAACAAAAGAATGTATCCACTTTAATCCAAGTTATGTGGGGATATTCCCGTTATTACTTTGCATATTTTTCTTACTCTAGAAGAGTCTAACCTGTAAGGTGTGAGAAACCATCTTCAAAACTAATTTAATGCATTATGATTGTGAAGTCTAAAGAATTACATATAAAGATGAGCAAATATGTACATTTCAGATATGATGAATGTAAATCATGTTTATTTGGTGGTTTAGTTTATTTCAGATAAAAGTCATAACCAAATGCACAAGAGCAAGGGAAAAGTATACTCGACTGACTAATTATTCAGTTTATACTATATAGTCATTGCGTGAGCCATGCTCCTGCATCCTTGCTTTAAATGTTGTGAGCTTCAGTCAAGCTATATTCATTTTGTATATATGTAGATTTTTTCTCTTTGAAGCCCCCCTTTTTCCCTTACATGGATTTCTCAAGTACAAAAGTATGTCTTGCATAGTCTAGTTCCTTTCGACTTAGCATATTAGACAGTTTTATGACTAAGTGATTTATGTTTGTGTTTGAAGCTGACTAAATATAGCATAGTTTTTTTTTTTTTTTCTTGTCTATCTGTCTTTAAGGAAGTTGTTGGCTTCTTAAAAAAATATAGTAGTCAGCTCAGGAAAGTAGAGTAGCAGCAATGCAGAATGGCCTTGGGTTGCCATGGGATTCAAATAGTGAAACCATGTTGATAAAAGCCATTGCAGCTGCAATAGTGGTTTTTTCTCGTGATACAGTGATGCTATCTTGTTATAAGCTTCCAAAACACATTTTTTCCTCCTAAAACAACGTTTTAAGGGGTAAACAGTCTCCCCCATTTTTGAAAGCACTTTTTTGGCTTCAGAAACATATTCGGACTTGGAACCCTTTTTCCTTCATTCAAGAAAAAGCTACCTCCATTTTTCCTCTGCTCCTTTACACTTTAAAGGATTTTTTCTTTGTCCTCTGTTCAGTTCTTTCTTCACCGTTCAAACTTCTTAGCTTACATTTAACTATTTTTTTTCATCTAATTTGTTGTTTCTTTTCTATTAGTTTTACAATCATCTTCCATTTTTGGGCTTCATTACTATGTTCTTATTGCTTCTAGATTGGTGACTGTGTATGTAAACTATGACTTATTATTTATCTTGCATTTCATTAGGTTTAAGTTTCATTTTAGTATTTATACGTATACTATAAGAATAGTGGTCATTCCATTATAGCATTTTCAGAGCTGGCCAATTTATGCAGCAACCAAAAACATCGTTGGTTTAGTGATTTTTTTTTGTTTTTTATATCTTTTGAACCCCTATTAGAACTACAAGTTATGACACTTGTTTGTGTATGTAAGTGTTTGTGTTTTTTGTTAGGATTAAGAAAGTTAATTTGCATGGCAGACATCGTTTTATTCATTGATAGTATATTTTGCCGAGTTCTGCATAAAACAATTTAGATTTCAAATGTTGTCACAAATTTATAGATTCGTGTTATACCTCATGAAAGGTCGTTAGTTACCACACCAAGATGCATCAAACCACCATGACACACTATATTGAAATATTTATTTTTGATTCAGTGATGTCTATTGGTGAGTTAGCATTTCTCTATTTTGAATTTTTTGTGGAATATTCTGTGGCAGGTTGAAAGGTGGAATGAACAGAGGGAGAATGGGACTTTCCCTGGACCTATTTGAAATGATGTGCCGATTGGATATCCTTCTGAGGCATGAGGAGTCTTTTGAACCTTCTGTTGGTTAATTTTCTTCAGTTATATTTGGTTGAGTCATTGTGAATAAGGTAATTTGTGGATATTCATCACTTCACTAATGGCTGAAGCCATTTTGCTCTTGAAGTTGATATAATCGTTCCGGTTGTATCGCTGTGTACTTTCTTTGTTCAGATCATTTATTTTAATTTTAATAATTAATGTACTTTATCTCCCACAATATATTAGCTTCCTCTAAAAAGCGTAAAAGTTTGGAAGAATACATTTATCGTATTTTAATTTAAATTATGGGTGAATAGTTCTATCATTTTACCTTGCACCTTTCTTTTTTCACTTAGTTTAGGTACGTCAAATCCCAACTCCATACCTCCTCATATAATTTAAAGGAAAAAAAGAACTTCATTGTAAGTATGTAAAACAAATGGAGAGACCGACGAGACGAGTGGAGTGGGGTGGAGGGAGGATTTCATATGTGTTAATTGTTTAAACTGGTTTTCAATAATTTTTTATACCGTGGATCTGATCGTGTATCAAGTTTAAAAATTGATGACATGTATTTTTCTCGACTTATTATTATCCCTAAATTATCGTTGCATACAAATATTTCATTAGAGGTTACTCTTGTAGTTTAAAATTTAAAATACTTAACATATAGTTGAGGATACATTTAGATCGACTAGTGTATGGCTTAGTAGGTTGTGTATATATATATGTCTTTTAAAATTTTTTAAGATTTTATTATCAGTCTAATATAATAAAATATATTACTTTTAATAAAATTAGTCACTATTTTTTATAAACTCTTTGTATATATAATTAAAGTATTAAATAAAGAGAGTTTGAAAGAGTTTAATTTATAATTATATATAATTAAAGTAGTAAATAAAGAGAGTTTGAAAGAGTCCTTAGTTTATAATAAAGAGAATTTCAAGATTAACAAAGAGTCTTTAGTAGTTTCTAATAGAATAACATAGAGAATTTTAGTTTATAATAGAGAGAATTTGAAGATTAACGAGAGGCTTTAACATAAAAAAGTGTATACAAAATGATGACGTGACTTGATCAAATTGGCAACCAAGTCCTTTGAGATAGAAAAAAACTTTCGTTTAAACGTGAAACAGTAGTTATGTCTACTTATTACAAATGTCACTTCAAATACAATCCTTGTTCAACCTTAAATATGATTGACTTTTAATTAAGTTTCTTTATATTAGAGTACTGTGTTTCTTTTCTTTTTCCTTTATATATATATATATATATATATATATATATATATATATATTAATTATAAAAAATTCAGATAGGATTAAATTGAAATAGGGGAGATTTAATTGTACTTTTGATATTTTTATAATTTTCAGTTTATAATTACTGTCCTCTTTTACTAATTTAGTCTTCTATATTTAAAAGTAATTTTTAATTGTAGAATGGACTGCAATTAAATGCTTTACCTATGGATTGTTAAAGTGAGAGTTGAAATTGTATGTTATAATGACAGTTGAAAAAGTAACCAGGTTAACATGATTTTTCAATTAACTATTAAATTATAAATATTTTGTAATTAATTAACATGATGAATAAAAAAATAGTATAATATTTATTTCGTATTAATTAACCTAATAATTAAAAAGATAGTATAATAAAAAAACTGTTATTTATTAATACACTGTCATAACATAATGATTAAAACAAGATCGTAATCATTAATGTGAGTGTTATGAGTTGTAACATCAAAATAATAAATAATAATATAATATTTAAAATATACCGTGAAATATAAAAATCTAAAAATACTATTATCGTGGAAAAAGTAGTTAATGAAAAAAAAGAGTTATATATATAATAAAATATTATTTTATATACAAAATATTAAAAGGAAATTTTATAAACAATTTAAATACAAAAAGATAGTTTTATTCGACAAAATAATTGGGTATCCCAGGATATAGTCATCACACGGTTTAGCCGTCACCATGCACCTGCGCACCCATTTCTCACTCGTGACAGACACCTTCAATAATTCACCAATTCATACACACCACATCCATGCATGACTCATCATGGGACCCGATGTTCTGTGTGACAACGAGGTGATAAATAATTTGTTAAAATGAAATTAGATAAAAGAAAATATTTGATTGAAGATAAACAGATAATAATTGTAGTATATAATTTTAAAAATTATTTATTGTCTTTTTTCTTTTCCTTGTTTTCATCAAAACCGTCAAATATTTGATAAACAAAAAGAATGTAAAGAACAAAAAACATAAGTCAAAAGAGGGTTGTGGTTTGATATAATATAAATAAGAAAAAGAAAACAGAGTATAAAATTATTTAAAATAAATTGTAATTCTTTAATGTTTAGAGAAAAACAAATTGAGAGACTCAAAATTAATATATTTAATATGAACTATTTTGTTACGTGATATAAGAGTTAATTTATAGACCTAAAAATAATTAAGTTTAATTTTTTTTATTACATATTGAGTTTTGCTTACTAAATTATTTAGTATTATGTCTTGCACGTAAAAAAAAACTTGATAATAAGTATTGCACACGTAAATTTTATACATGTAGTAAATTTTGCGTAATAAAATATTTAGATAATAATTTTTAAATATCAAAATATTTAAATATTGAATCTCAAACATCAAGTATTAAATTGATTAGGTGATTTAGAATCTGTCTGATTCATTAATTAAGTTGATTTTTTCATTTCAAGTTTAAAATTATTATTTTTTAGTTCTTATTTGAAATTTGTTTTCTCTTATTAATTTATCATAAATATCATTGAAAACTATACTTTTTATATAACTAATAGTGATAGGTCATTTGTATGACTTTAACTACGTTTTTATAATCTCGTAGCTAACATATGTTTATTGTCCATTCATGGTATTTTCTTCTTCTTTTTCTGACATAAATTGTATACAAGACATTTGGATTGAGAAATTAAAATAAACCGCTTTCAATATGAGAATTTTAAAATATATTTGAACGTAGAAAAAATTTGCATGAAAAAATGTATGAAAATTGTGTTTTATGATATGTAGTTCAAATCATTATGTTGTGTCAAAAATACTTCTGCCATAATTAGAAAACAAATAAAAATTAAGATATAAGTTTATATTAAATTAAATTCAAATTATATAAATAAAATTAACCTTAAATTTTAGATGAAGTTATTTGATATAGAAATATATATATATATATATATATATATATATATATATATATATATATATATATATATATTTTTATTTTAAAAACGAGCTAGACTATAAATTTATCGATCAATCATACATAAGTCCATTTTAGTGTATTTTGGTAAAAGATTAAACGAGTCCAAACAACTTTACTCTATTTTCATTAAAGAAATTAGTTTTTTTTTTTTGTCTTACTCAATGGATTTCAAATATTATTTAAGCTATATCTATTTTTCCAGCTTTATTACGAAGTGATAGATTTCACAATGCAAGGCTCATTTTATTTTCAACCACTTATTTTCTGTTTGAGTTACATACCAAAATGAGATTTTTATTTTCCATGCTTCTTCTGTCTCTCTCCCATTCCATCACGTTTTTGTCGTTCCAAATAAAGGTTGATGATAGTTACTTTTTTAAATGAATAAAACGAAACGAGTATTGTCGTTTGGTAAGGTAATTTAATATTTTATTTATAAAATAGTGAAATTAGGTCGATAAGAAACTTTTCTTGAAACAACTACTAGCTTAAAATAAAAAAAATTATAAATTACTCAAAGTAGCGTGTGACGTGTAACTTAAGAATTATATATATATATATTAAATGTAGTCGTAGAATGCTTTACCTTATCCAATGATATCGTTCTTAATAAATTACACGTGTTTATTAAGTCTATTAACTTTTCTATTCTTTAGGAAATATAATTTATACACTATTTTACTTCCCTTAATAACATATAAAAGTATTAATTTTATAATTATTATACATACACATATAGTGAGGTGGTGTATAAGCAATGTAGGTCACATAAATAAAGGTGCGGTCTCACACGTATTACACAGAATAGATGGCGTGGAAGGTGGTGAGTGGTTCTGAAGCACCGAGTAACGGTCAACCCACAAATTATGACTTAGGCAATTCCTAAGTAAATATTCAGTTTACTAATTTCATTTAATAAATCCAATACAATTACTTGACCTGGTCTTGCGCGTTTGGTACAACCCAATTTAATTCAATTTAATAAATACAACAATTTTTAAACTTTCAATTTATTAGAGTTACACTTGTCTCATTGCATTGCCAACAATTGATTACGGGATTTATTTTTTGGAAGAAATTGCGGTACTTTCCTACTTCCATTACCAAACGTTAATTAATTAGTCTGATTAAGCCAAGTTTTTATTATTATTATTATTATTATTATTATTATTATTATTATTATTATTATTATTATTATTATTTATACATGGTTATTTTTCTTGTACATAACAAACCAAGATTGTAATGCCTTTCCGAGGCAGTTGAATTTGGTGACCTATTCTACAATTTTTCCTTCTCAACTGTTGAAAATGTTTTAACGACTTCTGACTAAAATCATAAGAATCCATTTGAGCCTTCGAATCAACCCATCAAAATTGATACTTAACTTTACATAGAATAAAATTCTTCGTTGAAGGAAGAGGTTTCCAACATTCATTTCCCATGTTTTCCAATGCATGTATCCCGTTTCATAACAAGTGTTCGCTTTTTTCTTCACAACCTGGACTAAAGTTTAAGGTTCTGTTTCTCTAGTAACTATTTTAAGAAAATAATGTCCAATAGAAAATTACTATTATTGTAACATCATTTACCTCTTAACCAATTAATAAATAAAACTATAGCGGAAACAAAAACAGCACAGTAAATAATTAAGAGTAAGTGTGCCAAAATCTTCATTTATTTTACAGGGATTTTTTTATTTTTATCTTAAAATAAATAAAATTA